TCCAGCTCAGAGAAGCAGTGCATCTTATAGACGTCTGATACTGAATCGGTGTCCCTGAAACATCAAAGGCTTTCATTGCTAACTAGATAGCTAGTCTAGATGGACCAGATGACAATCCTTCCATCGACGCCAGTGGCTGCATGGCAGGTCAGTATTCAATGACATTGTGAAACAAGGAAAGGAGAACTCTTTCAAAAAGCACTTACAGCTAATCTTAGTGACGTTGCCACCAGAAGATTCGTAGGCACGAATGGTCGAAATGGTGTTCTGGTGAACCGTCTTGAGCTTGGTGTCGTCCTGAGTCTTGCCCTTGAGATCCATCTGCCTGAACATGTTGAGGGCAGACTCTTCACGCGCCTCGCCAAGGCCAGGGCGGCCCTTGGACTCAAGGCTGCCCGCCAGCTGCCAGCCACTCTCGCCTCCCTGGAAGCGAAACGCCTCGCAGTCGTAGCCAGCAGCGATGATCTCGTCCTCGGAACTCCACAGGAGGCTCATGAAGGGAAGAAGCTGGGTCGCGATGTTGAGAACAGCCTTGGGGGGCTGGTCGGCGCCGTTGGGGTAGACAACCGTGATGCTGCTGTCATGGGCGGTGAATGCAAGGGCATCTCCGCTGGGCGAGAAGGCAACAGAGTGAACCCAGCCTGCAGAGTTGTTGAGGTACTCTCCGCAGACAGTATTGAAGGGAAGCCTCTCGCCCCAAACACTGGGCTCGGGCCTGGCGTCGTTGCCCTTGATAAAGGCAGAGAAGACACGAGCGTGAGCATCCGCAGATCCGGCAGCGAGGAGCACCGAGTTGGGGTGCCAAGCAACCGAAGTGATGGTGCTGCGGATGGGCTTCTTCAGGTGCTTCGACACCCACCAGTCGTTTTCCTCCTCGAAATAGCAAACGGCAATGAGGCGGTCGCCGGAACCGACGGCGAATTTGGTCTCGTCGGGCGACCAGCGGACGAATGTCGCGGCGCGACTGATGCGCAGAAGCACAAGAGTCGGCTTGTAGCCGGAGGGAGAGGGCTCCCAGACGAGGGCATTACGATCTAGGAAGGACGTCAGCGTCATGTTGGACCCTGTTGTGTGGGGTGGCCGGGGGTCGCTGACCTTGCGAACAGGTAACGATGCGACCGCTGTTGGGGGCAATGTCAACGCTGGTGACCCTCTTGTCGTGGCCCTTCAGCTCATCCTTCAGCTTGAAAGCACTGCCTGCCTTTCCGTAGAGTTCGATTGTCGAGTCGCGGGCGATGGCGAGAGTCGAGCGGTCAGCCGAGAAGGAGTGGTCGGCAATGGGGTTGTGGAAGAGATGGTGGATTTCGGGAGCAGCCATGATGATTACTATCTGTGCGGTAGGAGTAGCTCTCTACTACCACTGCGTATGTTCAGGGAGGGTGAGTAATGGTGGAGGATGAATTCGGACAGTGATGATGCAGGCTGGGTTCGCAGATGGTGTTCAGTGCTGCCAGAACATGGACACCACAAGTCAAGCTTGGTGGGGCTGCGCCGCTGAGGGGTTACGTAGCTCAAGGCGCTAGCCGCACCCTGGGAGTCCAGGTTAGCCTTGAGTTGAGCTGGGGTCGGATGCTGACTTCGATTGGCGCTGCCGGATGAGCATGGGATTTCTCTTCACCGCGAACTTTCGACAGCCTCGGCGCAACACCCAGAAGCACACGACCACGACGACGCACGGCGTGACAACGCATCAAGAACAATCGCAGTATTTCGACGGACAGATTTCTTCGAGTCAAGAGGACTTGCGCCAGCTCGTCCGCCATCCACCGCCATGGCTGCCGTTGCCCCTCCCCGCGGTCTTCCGCCCAATGCCTCCCTCCCCACCAAGGTGACCCCGATCGCACCTAACCAGACGTATGTTGAAGCTGTCAGATAGGCACCACAAAGGCTCGCTGACACCAGGCAGGCTCTACATCACGAACCTCCCTTCAGCAAAGATCCAGAAACCCGACTTACGCACCGAATTGTACCTGCTCTTCTCGACCTACGGCCCCGTGCTCGACATTGTCGCGATGAAGACCATGAAGATGCGCGGCCAGGCGCACATCACCTACCGCGATATTCAGACAGCGACACAAGCCATGAGGTCGCTGGAGGGATTCGAGTTTCTCGGTCGCCCACTCGTACGTTCACTCATACTGAAGTCATACACATCCCCGGGGTGGCCCCGTACTGACGTTGTTCCTACACAGAGAATCCAGTACGCCAAGAGCAAGTCGGACTTCATCGCCAGGCTCGACCCTAACTTTGAGCTGCCCAAGACGGGCGCCGCCAAGGTTGAGGTCACATCACTGCAGCAGAGCATCTTCAACGCGCCAGCGCTCTGGAACGGCTTGCTAAGCCGGCGCCCGCCGCGAACACAACCATTGAAGGATTGCGCGCTTCGGAGGCCGCCCGGGGGCGGAAAGAGGACAAGAGACCA